ATATGATTTAACTTTTATAGAAACGAAAAAGAGAAAGTTGCTTTTGATGGCATTGAATAAATCATCTCCACCCATAAGACATTATTCATATGCTTACCCATCACAAACAGGCAACCTGAGTACATTCAAAGACAGATAGATAGCACATATTTTCCCAAAAGAGCTTCCATTTCCTCTTCCTCTGCTTGTGAGACAAGCTCCTTTTCAACATTAAATTTCAATTATGCCCCATTGACAACATATTCAACAGTAGTGCCATCAGCTTCTTTATTTTGAGTATTTTCCTATAGCAGGGTCTAGAATAATTATGAAAAATAACTCATTAAGGGCATAGACAATCCTGTGGTGTAGTTGGTGATGTAAACTATTGACGCCATTCTTGAATTATGAGTCCAAGCTTCGCCGTCGTTCCTTCAACAAACAATAACCATCTAAAAAGATACAAACTTTGCATATAACTTTCAACATTAGTATAACCCAAAATCACAGAAGATCATGAAACACTATCAGTCTGCAACATTTATTCAAATGGAATAAAATAGCTTATATGTAAATGAAGCTTATTACCTATAACAGGGACAATTTTAATCAAAGTCACTAAAAATATCAATTATTACACTTAATTGCCAATACCATCTGGATGGCCATAAAGCTTGTTGGTTAACTCTCTTCTCTCGGATGGAAGCCCGTGCTCAAAAAACTATCAGATACAAATAGTCACTTTACCAAGATCTATATATATGCATGGTCAACATAGATACAAAGTAAGTAATAAATTATAATTACCTTTTTAACCACATAATACCAAAGACATAAGTCATCAAACCAAGAGCATGTGGAGTGATTTTCTGATAAACCATATTCTTTTCTTCATTAGTTGTTGTTTCAAGAATCCCTCCATGAAAGACTATCCCGTGATTCTATATTCAGAGGCGTGGACGTGTAAAATAGAGTATTAACACAAATAAAACATGACTAATCAGCACAAGCAAAATAGATATGGCGTGTAAAATTTCTAGTACAAGTAACACATGTTCATATTGATATCTCAACATCAGAACAATGTCAAGATAGATGTTACAACATCTGTTGACAAAATGAATAGATTTATCAAGATGCAAGTGATACTTAAATTAAATTGCAGAATGATAAATAACACACAGAATTGTTAACCCATTTTGGTGCAACATCACCTACTCTAGGAGCTATCAAGCCAGGAAGAAAATCTGCTATCAGTAGTATCAATTCAAAGCCTAAATAGTCTCAGTTTACAACTTCTCACTTAATCCCTGCTCAGTGTAACTTCTACCTAGAAATCACCATCTAGATATGAAAAATCTCATCTCACTTCCTAAATCACATTAGTGATATCTAATAGTCTCATTCTCAGTGACTATCAAAAACAATTCAACAAGAAGATTACACTTCCAATACAAAAATACTTAGTTAAGACTCTTAAATAAGGAAAATACTTGGTGTTGCTTAAAAGCTTCAACCAAGAACAATACTCAACTCATCATCTAAAGATTTCTAAGTGCGAACATTATGTCTACCACAAGTATCAAAAGATACATGGGTGACTCACAACCACACACAAGAAACTCTCAAAACCTAAGACTCTAAGCTTCCCCTAATTTACAAATTATAAAAAAACTTAATTGAAAGAATTGATACATTAGGTTTAGCTTTTCTCCTTTAAATACACCTCTGCAGTCCATGGACTTCGAAATCTGCATCCAAATATTTCTCGATCCACAAGTTGAGTGATGCACCAATTGTGCAGCAAAATCTCCTTAAATCTTGGAACAAACAATACCAAATTTCCTAAATGGTCTCAAGGCCCAATTTAGTAACTTATGTATAGCTGGAGATACAAAACTTGTTTCAGATTAAATCTTCTTGACCTGCAAAATTTATTGAGACATATCCAAAGAAATATCACTGAATCCAAATAAATCTGTCAAGGTTTAAAATAGCATGTACTGATATTCTGCTACAACATGTTACAACACCTGCCAGAACATCTACCTTCAAATGAACCTGACCAGCATGTTAGAACATCTTCCATATCATCCTTGTTGTAAACCATGTTTTAGCAAAATTAGGCCAATCCTAAAACCATTGTACTAATAGTGTGTTGCGTACGTTTTTCTCAGATACTGATTCGCCACAACTTCGAGATCCTTCTTACAATTTGTGTTCAAACTATCAAACATAACGATAAACAATATGTCAACTGCATCTTTGTAAAATTGCCAAAAACTCATGTTTGTTAATCTTGTTAAAAATACAGTTTATGGAAATTTACCAACTTAGACTTTTATGAAAATCAATTAACGGGAACCATACCTGAAGAAATAGGAAATGCTTGCTTATATCCTAAGAAACTAACCACAAAATCATCAAATCAACCACAAAAACCCTAATCACAAAATCAAAACCCTAACTTTCTAAGAAAACCAAACAAAAACAAAAGAGAGGTAATGAAGCAAGAAGGAGGATCTTCTTCTATGGGAGTGGCTAAAAGCATGTAAACCGATTCGTATAGTTTGAAACCCTAAAATCTCAATCCAACCGATCCGCACACTTTAAACCAATTCACACACCATTATTGTTTCGGAGTGATACCAAAATAACAAAAGAGGGAGAAGAGGATGGTGATGATGTTATCGAAAATAGAATTCCAACGATAGTATAAGAAAGAAGGAAGAAAAAGAGCAAAAGGGAGAGAGAGAGAGAGAGAGAGAGAGAGAGAGAGAGAGAGAGAGAGAGAGAGAGAGAGAGAGAGAGAGAGAGAGAGAGAGAGAGAGAGAGAGAGATGATGATGATGATGATGATGTAGAAATTTTGAATTAAAATCAAAATTGGAAGAAGAGAAATGAGATAAAACAATTTAGTTTGAACCATGTGACATCATCAAATCATTGATCAAAGGCAAAGAAACAACAACTATGTAATTGAAATAGAATAACGATATGACATCATTACTTGAAAAAAAGTAAATTTTGAACACAAAATGTCTTCATATTGGTGAATAGGGGTGTTCAAATCCAAACCAATCCAAATAAAAAATCGAAAACCGATCCAAAAAACCGAAAACCATAAAAAACCGAAAGTTATTGGTTGTGTTTGGATGTTATTTTATGAAAACCGATCGGTTCAGATTGAATTTCGGATGAATTTTTCAAAACCGATCCAAACCAAACCGAACCGCATAAATATATTTTGATACTTATTTACTTTTTATTAGTATGACATGTTATGTGAATTTATTATTAGATGATAATAATTTTTTTAATAATATTTATTAGTTTAGTATAATCTATTTATTTTTATTATTTCAAGCATAATCAATCACTCTCATTTTGTAATATTAACTTTTAATATACTATATGTTATATATTATATCAAATTTATGATTTATTAGTAGTTTTATAATATTTATAAAAATATAATGTGTAATTTGGATATCCAAAAACCGATCCAAATTAAACCGCATAAAATTGGATCGGATCAGATTGGATTTTTTTAAATATATCATCCAAAATCGAACCGAACCTTAAGTGAATTAATCTTTGAATCGGATGAGTTTTTACTTTAAAACCGATCCAAATCGAACCGCGAATACCCCTATTGGTGAAGTGGCAAATTAAGAGGCAAGGGCAGGAAAATATTTTCCACGGCCTAGAACTTTCTTATATGGTAGATAAATAAATAGAAAAAAAATAAAATAAAATGAGAAAGTGTGAGAAAAAAAGTGAGAGATATTTAAAATTTTAATCAAAAGAACAAATATATATATATATATATATATATATATATATATATATATATATATATATATATATATATATATATATATATATATATATATATATATATATATATATATATATATATATATAATTATGATTTAATTAATAAATATTAAAAAATGAATATTACATGTCAATCTTAAAAAGAATTAAATACAATTAAATTGTTGAAATTGAACATAATATATTGCAATAAGATATGAGAACGAAAAATACAAATATTATTTAATTATTTAAATGTTGTTTTCTTAGTGCAAATAATTTATAATGAAAAGACGATTTAGAGAATTCATATGCTTTGATAGTTGATTGACTATCTTTGAGCTTCATATTTTTCATACCTTTGTCTCAATCTTCTCTCGTCTCTATCTCTCTAACCAACCACTCATTCACTTAAACACATTATTTTATTAAGAGAAAAGATACGTTGACATTTTTTCTTAACAATACATACTACTTTTATTTTTTAATAATTTATTTTAACATTGTTTTTTGTGCCAGACCAATTTACTTTGTTGTGGCATATGGTGTAGCTACGGTATACAGACAATTGTTAGTATTAATACTAAAGATAACATAGTATGTAAACTTGAAAGGTAACGTAGTATACTAATTAATGTGCAACACAGAATACTGGTATACAAGTTGTCTTTTTATGTAATTTTGTAAGCACCTGCATCATTTCTCCGCATATGTCCCCTATAAGCCTTTCTAAAGAATCATGATGTATACTACTACCACTCAACGGTGTGCCACGCATATATAGAGAAAGAGATAAGGACACTCTTTTTATTCTCTCCTTTCCATTATTACCAAGGGCCATATTGTTTGTGTTTCTTATTCTTTCAAGATATAGATATATTCACAACTTTATTATACTTATTTGTTCACAAGAAAAATGTGAACTAAATGCCCCAATAGCCTTACCTTTATATCATAGCCCTATTTAGAATTTATCAGAAAAACCTTACACATGAATAGATATGAATTTGAGATAGTAAACAAAGTTATTATATAACTAAATTGGAAAGTCAAACAATGAACAATGCAGCTTGCTAAATAACAAGGCTAGGAATCAGAAAAGACAACCACAACTTAACCAATAATACCAAACACACAACAACATCAGATTCTTTTCCACCACTACACTTTTTCGGTGGCATCACCATTTGTAATTTTGCCCCATCATATTGGTCCACCACATGAGTAAGTGACCGTACAAGATTCTCCAATCACCACTGTGTATTCATGCAAAGGTCTTGTGAGGAAAAGAGGCAACTTAACTAGAATCTCACACACACATCGGCTGTCTATGTCTCTAGCCCACCGGCAACAGTTATCTTCTTGTGAGGTTCTGTGGTGTCGGTGCCTGTGTCTGTGTCCGCGCGTGTGGTTGTGACTCTGATGTCCCTCGTCGTGGTGACTCTGACGTCCTTCGTCGTCGTCTGGGGATGAAGGAGAGGGTGGGGGCGAGATTGGAGAAGGATGTGATCCTGGAGTGAAAGGTAACATTCCACAAGCATAACTTACTAGTGCTAGCTGAGGTGCACAAAGTGGGCGAAAAGACGGTGGTGGCAGGTGAATAACCGGTGGCCCAATATGGCTCTCCATTTTCAGCACAAATGTAAGAAATGTGAGGAGGACCAGAGTTACTGAATTAAAAATATTGTTTCTCTTCATGCTGTGTCTCTTTCTGAACATGAAGTGATATATATATATATAATGTTCACATTGCCTCCTTAAATACTTGCAAATTTATCAACTTGTTTCATTTCTCATCTCATCCACTTGGTGTGTGGACTTTGTAGGTAAACACAAACTACTCTAAATATGGGTTCAACTTCAAGCCACCAACATTCCTCCTGAACAATGTTTTGAACAACTTTTTTAACACTGTTGAGAAGTGTGACAAGGGTTTTTAATATTTATATAAATTTATTGGTGAAAAAATATTTATTTCTTATTTGTTATATATTAGTCAAGAACACATATTTGTGCCATATTATTTTATGTATCAGTAATAAATGTTTGTCTATATAAATATTTATTCCGTGTTTTTTAATGTATTGATCACAAATATGTGTCTAATATTTTTTTAAAAAACTTTATTTGTTATAAATATGTCTCGTATTTATATATTGATGTGGTTTTTATAAAAAAAACTATAATCTTATATTTTAGTCATTCACATTTTTAAAAAATAAAAGTTTTGTTGATATGTGATGACAAAGTATTTGTCTCTATTAGTAGTATATTTTAATATATCTTTAAATTACTTTAAAAATATTATAGTAAGTGTAACATAACTGTTTTTTATTTATTTTTTTATATTGATGATATTAAAAGTTAATAATAATTTAATGATAAATATTTATCTCATATATAATTTTGACTATAAATAATAATTAGTTTATTAAAAACATTCTTATTTTTATAAAAATATTAAAATTATAATGTTAAATTTACTAAATAATTAATGACACATATTTATCTCACTTATAAATTATATGTTTCAATAATTTCTTTAGTAACTCACATCATAAAAAATAATGAGACGTTATTAAATTATTAAAAAATATAATTATTATAATATAATTATTTTATTTTTATTTTCATTACACTACATAAAATATGAATTTTAACAGTATTTTTTTACTAAAGGTGAAATGATAATAAATTTGTAACATATATCGGGTTTACATTTGTACGATCTAATATTTTCTTTAATAACTCATTTCAATAAAAACATTATGTGTAAAATTTATAATTATTGTATTTTATGAATAGAATTTATAAATTATAATTATTCTTGTTTTTCAATTATTATATTAAAAAAATATTAAACTTAACTAGTTGATTGGAAACACAGAGTTTCTTTATAGTATGATCACTTGCTCTAACAATTTTTCAAGTGACTCATTTTAAAACTTAAAAAAATTATGATAAAATTTCAGTTGATGTATTACAATTGTACATGATATTTTATTGATGATTTTTAAAAGAATAATAATTTTAACTAATAATTTAATTATAAATTTTATATTGTATACATTTTCATATATGTTTCAAAGATTTTTTTTAAGTGACTTATTTTTTAAGATATAATAAATACAAACTATAGTTAGTGTATTATAATTATTCCTATAGAAATTTCATTGTGACATAATTAAAAATCATTAATTTTAATTAAATTTTTAACAAAAAATGTTTAATATGTGTATGACTTAATAAGTTATAAAAAATATTTAATTTAAAATATATTAAACTTAATAATACAAAATATTTGTTGAAGCCCAAAATATATATAATACTTAAAAAAGATAAAATAATTATTTAATAAATTATAATCAATTATTATCCCTCAAAAATAATCATTAATGACTCATCCGTAAATAAACAACATAAACACTAAAAATATATTATAATTATTTATTTTTAAGTTTAAAATGCTTTTAAAAAATTGAATTTTAAGAAATGTTTTAATAGTAAAGATTTATTTTGTACCTAATTTTTAAGTAAAAAAACAAGTGAAAACATAATAAAACGGGATGTACAAACCAATATCTTCATATAATAAAATTTTATTTTAAATATCCAAAATTACCCTCATAAACTCATATGTGTCACATGTTTAGAGTTAACTGAAAAGGATGTGCAAGTAATTTTGATAGCAATTAATTTTCTCAAGTTTTATAGGAGATGAGTGAAAAAGAATTTTAAATTTTTTTATTTTATTTGATCTCCTTTAATATAATTATCTTTCTATCGAACAATGCATGGCTGTTGTGATATTCCTCTTAAAAACAAACCACAAGTTTGTTGTATATCTTGAATTAGAGACTTAAATCAAAAGTATTCTCTATTTGTTTTTGTAAAATAGTTGAACCACATGTTTATTCTTCTTAAAAACAAACCACAAGTTTGTTGTATATCTTGAATTAGAGACTTAAATCAAAAGTATTCTCTATTTGTTTTTGTAAAATAGTTGAACCACCATAACTAAATAAATAACTTGTATGTAATCTATTATTATAAGGATTCAACAAGTAACTTGCCGTTGCATAATATGTCAGTTGTAATTTGGATATTTTGAAATAAAATAAAAACACTTTTGATAAAAGCGTTTAAGTAATAGCAGCGGAAAAATAAATAAGCAGAAAATAAAAAGATAAGGGTAAAAAGATGACTCCTGAAACTATATAGGTTCGATCGAAATAAAGTGTCATAATCGTTTCTCTAAGACTTGATCTTGAGAATATTTTGTAGTGTTTATGAGTTTTTAGTAGGTTAAACTCACGAGCTCTCTTATACAAGAAAAAAAATAAAGTTTCAGTCTAACTTCCCTCCAATCACGAACGAAACTTTGAGCGGTTAGTCTTTCAACTTAAACTCTTGAAATTTTCTATGGAATTATCTTGAACCAACTATGGAGTTTTGAATTGGTTATCCTCTGAACCAATTGTTGATTTTACATAGTCTCGTCACAAACTTGTTAGCTGAGAATTTTGAAGACCCAAAATATTAAAGAGAAATGAAAAATGTTGAAAGTAAGCTAGCTTTAAAAAGAATATGAGAATATTTTGTAAGGGATTTCGACTGACCAAATTATAGGCAGTTTGATTATATTAAATAATGGTGAAAGTCTTATTATTGCAAAGTGTGAAGAGTTAAAGGAAATTCAAGTTTTGAATCTGAATAGTTTGTCGACATGTTGATTGTTTTTGGCGCTTCAAATTGAAGAAGGGTTTGAATTTAAATGGTTTGATCTTATCCATAAAGACCCGTGGAAGCATGAAGAATCGAAGAGCATGCAGATGTCGAACGTGGCACTCTTATAGAGAAAGACCGTTATGGTCGAATTAGTATAAATTAGGACATTTATGTTAGGTTTTAGTGTATTCATTTTTTGTACAAATCACTCAAATAAACTCGAAGTACCAAGTGTTAAAGAAAAGAGTTACTGAGAAATGTACGTGTTGAAACACCAATTTATATTCAAATTCATATACTTTTAAATCAAGTTTTTTACATTTTGTTTTAAGATTAAGTCGAAGTCCTTTACATTCCAGTTCTTACTTTGAAATTTTTTTCATCTTTATCTTAGAAGCATTTATCTTTACTTTTACCTTTCGTTATACTTGTCTTTTCGACGTAAAACAAAGACTCAGAAACATTAGAAAACCAATAATTTACATTAGATACATGTCCTAGGATCAATCTAGTCGATCCTGCGAGTAACCAAAAAAATTATCTTTATTTTGGAGGACTAGAGGTTGTTTACCAAATTTCACGGTAAACAAATTGACACGCCTAGTGGGACAAGTGTATAAGTTTGTGTCACAAAGTTTTGTTTTGTGTTATAAGTTCTTTTAGTCCATTGTTTGACATTGTTGTATGAGATTAAGGAGTGGAAAATTTTCCAAAACTAATGAACTATACCAAAAAGAAAATACACTAGGAAGATGGTTAACCCACCCAATAATAATGAAGAACAACCATCCCCTTTCGATAAGGGAAAGTACGGTTGCGTTAACTGTAACCAATTTGATACTTGTTCAAGCGAGTACAACAGAAATTTCGACAAATACTTTTAGCGGTCCAATTCTTTCTTCAGTGCATACACAGGGTTCCCCAACGAACACAAGACCACCAGGGACGAACAATTTCAGACATTTTGCGTCTGGATTCACAATGCCAATGGGTGGTCACGAGCAAATGTATGGTATTCCAATATCCGTGATGACAAGCCTAAGTAATAGTGCATAAACATTTACTAACCCAAGAATGTCCATGTTTTCATCACTACAAGGATCAGGATCAGGAATAAATAACATAGGTCAAAATGTCTCACCTTCAGGATTCGTTTCCCAATTACCTAACCTAAAAACGAATTTTGCAGCAGCGTTTTGATAACAAATGGATGATAGCAATCATGAAATGGTTGGTGTTTTAGCCCAACAAATGGGTACAATCCTTAACCCACTAATCCAAAGTGCTAATCAAACTAACCAACAAAATTCCCAAGCAAATTAGCAATTGGCAGCGCAGATAGCACGAATTGCAGATTTCTTTGGCGCTCCCCAAGTTCCAGTTTGACAAGCCTGTCGAGATTGGATGAGAGAAAACCAGGGGTTAGTAGTCGAAGAGACCCAACAATCAACCAAGTGCAACCAATTGCGCAAAATGCTGGTGAAGTCAATTAAGGGCCCAGAATCGAACAAACCAGGGTCGAACAAGCCATACCAAGGGAGGCCACAACCCAAAGTGTTATGATGGTTGATCGAAACCATGTCACAGATGAAATCCTTCAATGTATTCGACAATACCATGAGGAAAATAATTTGGAAGCCATGGTCGAAAGAATAATGGCTTGAAATGGAGGTAAATATAGGCTTTCGAAGGCCAAATTACACATCCCTTTTGTCTGAATATGTTTTACAGACTGAATTACCCAGGGTTCACCAGCGAATCCACTGTCGAACATATAGCCAAATATCTAACTGAGGTTGGGGACATAGGGAATAATGAAAACCTAAGGATAAAATACTTCCCTAGCACTACAAGAAAATTAGTGATTTACGACACAAAAATTACGACAGTTACTTGATAACTGTCATAATTGGCACGTAGAGACAATGGTTACGAAGGTTGACACCAACCGTCCCTAAAATTCTTTTCAC